TATATATTGTTTGTTTTTTGGTATCAGCAGAACCAGCTCAGTTGCTCTGTTCCATTCAAATGTCCCAGGAAGTTATGACAGCGTCACACAGAATTTGTTTAAAATTGTTATTGACTCGTGTCTGACATGATCAGGTGGTTTATTTACCAAACATAGAGTTAATAGCTCAGAAAAAAATACTCAAAGTCCTTTATTTAACCTATTTTAGAGCGTTTGTTTTCATTCAAAGAAAATCAATGTATGTCTGTGCCACTGGGGTGTGACTTTCATTGATATTCAGAGATGTTCATTTTCAGCGGTGGATCAGCGAGATGCTTTGCAGGATGTTGATTCTCGTCATCCTGGAGTCTAATTGCAGCCTTGTTGGAGCAGAGAAGGCTGACGGATGGAAACAAATTTACCAGTAACAAACAAAATGAAAAGAAAAAAAAAACATGTTCCTCCTTTGAAAAAAGAATAAGAAAGCTGAGATGTTGCATTTGTGACATCATCGCTCACAAACCAGCCTCTTGTCAGTAATTGAGGTGGGTGAAAGACAACAATTTTTGGATGTCCATTTTCAGAATTAATTAAGTTAGTGTAATGGCTCCGTCTGGCTTTCATTGGTTATTCACATAATAGAATTGAACAAAAAATAATCTGGCCAGTTCATGAAATAAAGTACATTGTTAATATTAGAGCTATGGTTCCAAAACAGCTAATAATCTCATATATAACACTGTGTCAATCACAGCGGAAAATCCTCTGCAGTACAAGTACCTTCACTTCTGATGTGTCAAGTATATTTTGTTTATAACACGATTGTACTTTCACTTTATATGCAGGACCATTACTCATTGACTGTTTTTGCATCACTGTGATGATATTTTCATTTAAATCAAGTTTTCTTTAATCCTGCCTGCATGTCGCGGTGCAGCTAAAACAGATATAATCAGACTAACAAGCGCCCCTCAGCAGCAGAGTCCACTGTCTCTACATGGATGACCTGAGTGGCTTCATTATTAACTTATAGAGCATGCAGCTGGATGAGCAGGGGACAAGATGTCATCAAACGTGATGTGCAGCAGCGATTATAAGGGTCTATTCTTAAGTCTAAGTGCACGTACGAGTGCTCTGTTGCTGATCTGCACGTGTGAGTTCATGTGACAGGGAGCAATTATGTGCACCTCATAAATCTGGGGCTATTTTTTACTTCTTTTTTTATATATAAACAGAAAGAGCATAGCAAGAATACTCCGCCATTCATACACGTCCCACGCTACAAGAACACTGTGCACTGTCTGCTGGGGGCTGGCTGGCCTGGGCCAACCTTAGCCCCTGCACTCTGCAACACCAGATGTAGGTCGCTCAGTGCTGCAGGGGCTAGAGGATGTGAGTTCTGTGTGTGTGTGTGTGTGTGTTGATGGGGAGTTTGTAGTATTTTGTGCACACGGGGGGGCAGGGTCGGTAGAGTTATGATTGTAGTGGATGAGTTCATCATCAAGGACATGGCCTCCAGCACACTGTCTCCATTGCTGTCACATTGCATTGTCACAAACAGTCCACATGAAGTCTGACAGCCTGGCAGACCAGACCGAGGGGGGACGCTCGCTGGTCTCTCACTGCAGCTCGCTCTATTGTTTTCCTGTGCTCACTCTCTCCAAGCATCTCTGTGCATTAACAGGTTATCCATTAAAATGCAGCTGACACTGAGGGTGTTTGAGCTCCTAATCCGCACAAAGCTACAAATCAAAACAATGTTATGATTTTAAGCTCATTAATCAGGTAGTTGCTCAGTGGCCGTAAACACATTGACCTCTGGATTAGAGTTTGACACTGTGTGAACTTTACACTGTGTCTAGCTCCTGAGGCCGACATTAGCATGTTAATATATGCACAATGACGATGCTAGCATGCTGATGATTAGCAGGTGTAATGTCTGTGTTCACTGTCCTATTGTTAGCATGCTAATATGGACATCAACAGTACAAACGAAGTAGAGATAAGACATTAGTTCTGCTCGTATTTGGATCACAGACTATAAAGATGAATAATATATGGCAGCTTCCAAAAGCAAAGCCAATCGTGTTCATCGCCAGCCGGTGCCTAGCTGCAGTAAAGTTAAAAAACTCCACCTCCTCCATGTTAGCAGACGGGACCCAACTAAAAGTACAAAGTCAGATTTTTCTCAATAATGGTTTCTGTCATTTAAGGTAGTTCACATTGATGTTTGTTCAGGTGTTGTTCCAGTGGGTTTGGTATTGATTTGATGCAATAAAAAATGGGGTGAACCATAATGATTGGGCCCAATTCAGTGGGAGCTTTATACCGCCTGCCCCCCCCTCCTCATACCGTCTTTGTGCTAAGTGAAGATAACTAGCTGCTGGCTGTAACTTCATATTTAATGGGCTTACATGAGAGAGAGGAGAGTTCTCATCTGAATCTCCACAACAAGACAAACAGCCTGAGGGCATCACTTAAATTGTTCTATTATTTGTTTACTGTAAGATTTAAAGTTGTGACATTAATCATGTTTCCATAAAGTGCTACAGTAACATTTGGTTTTATTTTCCTTGTTTCCTTGTGTCTGCCCGGTGCATCAGTCTGCTCTGTAAATATGCGGGTGAAGTTTCTCTAATCTAAACTGATTACAGCGTTCCCTGCTGTGTGCCAGTTTCAGCCCCCCCACACACACACACTCCCTCATCATCACAGCTGATTGCACTGCTGAAGCCCAAATGAACTGTTAACCCCGTCTTCACCACGGCCATAAATAGAAAACCACAGTGCGGCACTCAGGCGACAATGAAACAATGCTGAGGGTCTGTGCTTGTGTTGTGGATCACTTGTGGGCTAATGTGTCCTAAGTCACCATTAGTTACCTAATTGAGGGCTTGAACTGAGATACACAAGCACTGACATCTTTGAGCGATGAGATACCATAGCCATAGCCGCTGATGCACAGAGCAATAATGTATTAATGATGCACATAAATATTTCAGTTGCTTTTCAGAGTGTGAACTATTGGTCTTAGGCTTCTTAAGAGCCATTAACTGTGAATGCTGCTCTCCCTCCACACACAGTTACAGTTGTTCAGGCCATCTGGTTTAATGTGCTCACCATTAGAGGCTGACATGGTGGAACTGATGAAATGTGGCTGCAATAAATTCCTCATTTCTGATTTGTAGTTTGAAACAAGCATAATTATATCTTCCTGTTGGTCTACACTTTTACTATGTTTGAATGAGAGTTTAAGAGGTTGCAGCTGGGCCAGTGCAACTTTTATTATCAGAGCAAATTTACTATTTGTCTCAGGTGAAAATGGTGTAAATGTAAATGTGCTTTATAAAAATGTTACAAACTGACATTTTGACACACAGCTGGAAAAAAGTGGGAAAAATGGACGTTATTCAGAACCATAAGTAGCGACAAACACTATGGAGAGGACAAACTGAATTAGTTGATGAAAACAGAATGGACGAACCGAAGGTGTAGCATCCATAAACAGTTGTCTTGTTTGTTCTATATGATTGTTGAAATAAAAGTATAAAACATGAGCTGGATACATCATCTAAAATAACAAAAACCTGTCATTAAGAAAATACGCATTTATTGACAACAGTCCAATTAGATTGTTATGAAACAATGTGACACAGAAAAATAAAGCTGCATTACAAATAGATTATATGTGGATATTCACCATCTGTAGCAATACTGATACTGTACTGCATAATTCATAATAATGTATCAAACCATGTCAAAAAAAGCAAAAAAATATTAACAGGACACAAAACAACTACCAGTGAAACTTCCCATAAACAATGTGATAAACATACTAAAAACAAGGATGTGAAATGTTTGAGAATTTCATGTTATTTTCATTTTTAATACTGTGTGAAGCATTGCAAGTTGAAAATACTGTGTATGTATAAAAAGGAAGATGGAAGTCAAACAGTCAAGGTTTTTCAGAAATCATTCTGGGAAAATTCCAAAACCTGATTATACTGTTTGTTTTTCAACTCAAACAAAAAAAACTGTATCACTTATTAAAAATGATAATAATGGGCAATAAAGTATTAATATTGATACTCTAAGTGAGACTTTAGTAATTATAGGTGATACCACCTGAGAGTATGGATCAGTAGCGGTCATAATGTGGTCTCTGGTGATGGGAGTTGTATCCCTGGTTGGAGCTTGGAGGGCCTGACTGACCACTCCCATGCCCCCAGTGCCGGTCTCTGTCTCGGTCTCTGTCATGCCAGTTCTGCTGCTCACGACGGTCTCCTCCCCAGCCTCGGTCTCCTCCCCAACCACGACCTCTGTGCCCACGACGGTCGTGGTACCTAGATATAGACAGATATAAAATACATATGGCACTTTAACAGTAGGTACTAATGCATGCATAACATGGCACTTAAATCACTTTGTCCAGATTAACCGAGCTGTGTTTCTCTAATGAAAGCACACTTCTCCTTTCCCTGTCTGTTAACAAGTGAGTGGACAATGTCGAAAAGAATGTGGTCATTACTTAAAACTGTGTTCACAGATAAAATGTGTCTGTTGATACTTTCCATTTAGTTTTCACTTTAAATGTCTTCATTCGATGTGATTCATTTCTTTCAGATCGCACTGCTGCACATCACCTGATTCTTAGAGACACTTTAACTGACCATGAACATGCAACATAAACACCAACCGGGACAACACGTGTGTCTCTGTCCACTGTGTGAGCTCACGTCAGTACCTGTTGTCTCTTCCTCTCTGGTTCCCCCCCGCTCGACCCCTCCAGTCCTCGACCATGGGCGGCGGGTCAGCTGCTCGGTTCTGGTACCGCTGGTACTCAGGGTCCTCGGGTGAGAACCTGTGGGCGAACAGCTCCTCGTACTCCTGCAGGGTCTCCGTTTTCTCCTCGGTCATTCTGTAGCAACAGATCAGAGGAGGCACTGGATATAAACACAAAGCTGCTAACACGGATATGTACGAGGGCTTTCTTCTGTTCCCAGGCGGACATGTCTGTGTTGCTTTAGCTGCTGTGGACGTAGCTCCCGTCAGATGAGGATACAAACAACTAAAGAAGGTCACAATGACAACACTTCAAACTCCTGCGTATTTAAAACCCACCTGAACAAGACGTGGATGTTGATATCTTCAGCGACACGTTCATACGTATTATCCTGACGCGGCCAATCCGAAATCAGTCCGTCGTCGAAGCGCTTCCCCCTGAAACAAATACACTTGTTTTAAGGGTTCCGGATGCGCGCACACACATTGATGGCTGATACCTGCCGGTTGGGAAAAAACCCTGTTAATATCAGAGTAGAAGTTAAAAGACATAATTTGAGAGTTTAAAACATGTTAGTGTGTCTGATAATAGACAATATATCATAGTTGTTGGTATTTTATAACACTACATTATGTTAGAATTGTACCCGAATATACAATCAACTAAATATCATTATAGATGTATTTCAAACGCAAACATATTGGAAACACAGTTATTTAGTTAGAAAACACTTCGTAAAATTAGCAGTAGCGATCGTGTGGTGTAATTTACTGGTTTAAAACATGTAAGAAACGATTTACTCGCTTTTGTTGTTTATTAAGAATGTGTTACGTTATGTTCGAATAAACGCCTCAGAGATACAAACTTGAAAAACAACTTAAAGCTAGCTAAAGCATTTTAAACTACTGGAAACACACCTGCTGAAGGCGCGAATGATGCTAACTTTGGCTAACGCAGTTTGAGGGCGTCGCTGAAACTCTTCCCCCCTGGAACAAGTAGACTCCTTGTAGTGGTTCCGAGGGCGCACACACCTGCCATTGATTGACACCTGCCAACATCGTCTTCAGTTTGCCCGAAACCATTATTTGGTGAATTTCGGAGAACGCGTGAACCGCTGGGAGCTGAAAACATGTAAGTGCAGCAGGATTCAGATAAAACACCGTCACTGTTTGTGTGTTTGTTTAAACTCCATGTTGTGTTATGTTTGAATTGTGAGTGATTTGGGTGGAAACTCAGACGGACCTCCACCACCAGCAGCAGCAGACACCAGCGGGTGTGTGTGTAGAGAGTGGGCGGCTCTGGTGGTGGTGGTGGTCGGAGCCTGAGCAGGTGGAAGCCGCTCCGTGTCGCTGCTGCTGCCGCCCTTCATTAGAAACACAATCCCGCTGGGGAGGGAAGACAGCGCGCAGCGAGCAGGGGAACATTCACCCAACAAACCCTGAGCCCGGTTCTTTTTATTTTTTTATTGGGAGGAGGACAACCGGGAGGGAAGCCATTGATTACCAGTGCGGGATTTATTCCGGGGAAAAAAACAAACAAGCGAGCGAAGAGAGAAAACTTCCAGGAATGACCGGGCTTCTGTGAGCCTGACAACCCGGAGAATCGAGTTTGCTGAGAGGAGGAAGAAGAGGAGGAGGAAGAAGAAGTGCTCTCCTCTCCTCATATTTCAGTGGCGCACAGGGACTGAACTCTGTGGACCACCGATCATCTGTGGACTTTGACTCTGCGCCTCCAAACACTGTTCTCCTCCCGACGCACTGTCATTATTTAAAGCGACGTTTTAAGAGCCAGGGAGCAGTTCCTCAGATCTCGCTGCGATGGGGTGAGTAGATGTAAATAAAAGTCCTGTGCGGTTTTATTTGAGCTTATACCCAGACAGCGCTGCCCCTCGGTGCGCCTCTCATGACACCTGCACCCACTGAGATATGTGCGCGGTGGAAACACCTCCACGATAATCCACATTTCACTCCTGTATCAGTACAGCCGGTTTGGTTCTGACGCATTATTACAGTTTTACAGGATATTCTTTTTTTATCAATGTGAAGAAATTCGAAGAGCTTATGTGAAAATGCTTCAGAGAATATGGATTTATTTGTCATTTTTACGCACAGTTTCCTATGGATTGAATGTGTGTGAATGTGGTTTTGTAGGTGTCGTTGAATTGTGATATGGAGGTGTCAGATTAATAAGGAGAGATGGTACTGTGTGTGTGCGTGTGTGTGTTGCACCCCCACAGTGGTTTACTGTGTACAGTACATTTTTATATTTTTTATTTTGCCTCCATACTATGAGTAAACGCCTCAGCAGTAATGAGCTCTGTTTCACACTGACTTCTCCTTCTGAAGTTCCTAATCCTGGTCATACTCCTTTTTTATTTGATTTGCTGTAGTGACAGCTCAATGTCATTCATTACAGAAGTCTCTGAAGAATTTGTGAACTTTTACATTTGTGACAATAAGAGATCTTTGATTTCTGAAAAACATGAGGCCAAATGTGGGACATAATCTGATTAATGTTCTCTAATAAATTAAAAACTGCCTCTGTGCTTGTTTTTTTGTGACCAGACAGTTTTATATTATGCAAGAAACCAGTTCAACCGTCCTGACAACTCTCAAGAGTTTGGCGTGGTCACCCAGCAGGTTTAAAACTGAGAGGAGACGCTGTTGTTTCAGTAAGCTTGCCCATGCAGCATGGCGGCTATAGTCCAAATCAAGTCAGGAGGTCACACCTAGTGACGGAGACATTACAACAAGTTTCCGCCTGTAGTATCACAGGTGGACACGAATGGTCAGAAAGTGGCAGGATTAGTTGAGCATGTCATGAAATGATTGTTTTCATTGCTGAAAGTGAAGTATGCCAACTGCTGAGTGGCACAACACAACTCTATTTGACAAACTGGAACCAGCAATCACTTAATATTTAAATCATTCTCACAGAATACATAGACCCTTCCATAATAAGAACCTGAATTTACGATAAAAAAAAAAGACTTAAAGTATCTCAAAGAGGAGTAAATATTATAATTTATTGGTACATGTGCGCACATGCAATATGTAGGCTCTGATTACACTCAGTGTGTGCAATGTGTCTTGCTCTAAGTGATCAGTCAATGTAGATAAGCGCGTGTGTGCGTGTGCGTGTGTGTGTGTGTGCGTGCGTGTGCGTGTGTGTGTGTGTGTGTGTGGATATTGTAGATTGCTTGTAGTTTGCAGGGTTTACTTGGTCCTTTGTCCCTGAAGCTCTTGGCTCTTAAATGGAGTTATAGATTAACTGTGTCTCTCTCTCACACACACACACCCTCAGTATCTATCCTCTGTTGTCACTTTCCTATCACGTCATGTGATCAATCAGTGCCCTCTTGATCTTGACATATATATATATTATTGATTGTGCCATTACCGGTTGATTTATAAAGCACAATAATGTATTAGTCCATATCAATGATATTAGGTCTCTAACTTGCCCATTAAATTAAAATATATAATTTAAGATTTAATTCAAAAAGGAATTTGAATTTGAGGAGAGTCTGATAACGACAGGGAGAAAGAAAGTGATGGTTATTGTGTTTTTTACGCACAGTTTTACAGCTTAAGCACTGCTTCGCCAAAATAAAGCTCAGATTGTCCGAAAGCCCCTTCTTACTGAATAAGCGCTCACTCAGACAGCAGTGCAATCAACATATTGCTATTTAAAGTATGTCGGGCTGGGAGCAGCCTTAACACATGGATAGATGATAATCTCCTGGCTGACCAGAGAGTGACAGCTAAAGGCTTAATACTCATTGATTAGGCTCTCTGACATGTGATGTGGCAGTGGGTCTCTTGGCTGCCCAGGCAGGAGAGGTAACTGTAAGCCTAATCCGACTTCTCTGTCTGCGGCTGAGGGCCAAAGGGGAAGGTTGTAAAGGTGTAGCTGGGGAGTACAAGCAGGTCTCACTGTTGAGGAATCATGGGTAAATGAAAGGGGACAGACTGACGGCGGATTGGACGTCTCCACACCAGATGGTTGAAGCCTAGGAGGCCATCTGCTGCCATGCTGTGCTTCAGTGGAGACTTCCTCACTTCCTTTTCCTCTGAGCTCTCAGATTATGTTGGGCACCTATCACCACAGTGTGGTGGAGGAGGACCTGATGTGAGTGCTGGTTTGAGTCTGGCCTGCTGGCTTAGATACATGAGATACTGTCGCCTGTTAAATGAGCTGTGCTGGCAGGAAGTACAATCAGTCCACAGCCAAAACCCCGGAGTAATAATGAAGGTCACTTTCAATAATCACAGTAATAACACAAATAATGTGGAATAACTTTTAATTAAATGGTAAGATTGCCATGCACTTTTTGAGTTTACAGTATAATATTCTTACAGCTTAAATGTAGAATAACAATGAAATCAGGCTGTAGCTGATGATTAATCTAGAAATTCACTGATCCATCGATTAATTATTAAATCCAGTTACTTTCTTTAACATAGATCCAAATAAAATCTCTATCTTGTGAATGTAAATGTAGCTTCAGAAGGGCACTGTTGGTGGATGTATGGGCTCTGGTGAGGTTTGTTTACGTCTCACAGCATTTCAGTCTGAGACTATCTCACTCAGCAGGTTCCATATTACATGTTACTGTATCTGTAGGGAACATGTCCCCCTAACATCAACTATGTGTATATACAATAAAAGCCACGGTGGTATTGTAGTGATGATCCCACAGAGTTTTCCTCTTCTGCCTACTTTGCTCATTCACACAGACAAAATGTTGCCCTCACTAATAAGGCCGCTCTGCTCCCCTCCAGCGCCTTGCAGGTAAAGAAAATGAGGGAGACTTCATCTGACTTTTACACCAGCTAATGAGCATTCAAGTTATTAAATCCTGGCATTTACGTTCACGAAATCTGATTTACAATCACAATACATTTGTTTCTACTTTGCCATTTTCACAACGCTAGAGTCACTTTTGCAACCTCGATACAAATTTTTCCCTCAGTTTCTTTTGATATCGATACCCTCTGAAAAAGCAGACGGAAACTTGGTGTATTGTCGTCAGTACTTGCTGAGAAAATAAGGACGGATAAGTGCTCATTGTTCCTTTCCTACAGTACTGTACGTACAGTATTTGACAAGTGAAGAGGCTTTTGTTGCAGAACACGCAAATTCACCATTTAATACATATTCTGTTGGTAATTTTTGATTTTAGCCCAGTGATCGTCATGCTTTAGTGCCTGTCTTGTCAAAAACTACAGAACAAAAATTTTTTCCTTCATTAATACGACGTCTGCTGTTTTTCATCAGGTCTCAGACAGGACAGTGACGTTAAGTCCCACTGGCAGACAGAATCTAATAAAAAGATCCTATTATAGTGCAACAGGCTCTGTGCCTGTGGTTCTGCAGCCAATAGTACCTGGACATGCAGCTTATTTGTCCCCGGCTCATTTTACACTCCAAACATGGTGTAAAACCCAGACATTGTGTGTTGATGCTATCTCTCTTTAGACCCGTCTAGAGGGAGACATGACACCTCTGTGGGGAAAAACAGAAAAATCTGTATTTAAAGAGTTTCACTATGCAGCCGAAAGTCATCAACTAATGCAACAGGAACAAAAAATATCAAAATATACAGCGGCAGAAATTGTCTGCCTACCATCTACTGCACATTTATATTCAACTTGTGTGTTGCGCGAATTCTAGAGCTGGTATTAAAGTCCCATAATGTTCACACTGTAGGAATGTGAAGAATGTTGCATGGCACATATCTGAAGCTGCTGAGGCTGCTGTTTTCTGTTAAACAGGCTATGAAGCCTGTTTGAGTTTTGAGGTTAAACCCTTTCGGTTAATGAATTCTAGATTCCTGAATCCTGTATCGACATCTTTACAGCCGCCACTTGTCACTTTCATTTTGACAGAGAGTGGATGACTGTGACTGATGAGGAAGGTTTGTTTGGAGAATGACGCTGAAGAGGATTCAGGAATCTGGAAGAGGCTGTTTTTCTCTTCCTCTGGAAAAACATGTCTGGATTCTAAAGGTGCAGCAGAACACAGCTGCTACGTGACTGCAGCCTGTGGCATTAAAATCAGCATCCAAACTCTAGAAGCTGCCTGCTGTTCTTCACACATCCTCCCAGGGCATGGTGTCATCTGCTATCATCTTAATGTCTCCTCTTTAAAGCAGTGGGATAATCCTTCTCTTACCAAACTTCACTCCAACTCTGTAGAGCTCAGTGTTTGAGTAAATCGTAGGTGGTGATCAGCCAGACACTTGGAAGGATTTAAGAGAAGATGAGGTAAACGGGCTTAGTGGTGCATCACTCACAATATTGCTGCTCCATATTCCTCAGAGGTAAAGTAGTGCAGTTGTTTAGTATCTTCCTCTGGTCTGTTTTTTTGTGATATAGATTCATTACATGTGAAAAGCTCATGTATTGGTACGATGCAGCGCTTTCTCAACAGTTTCACTTTTCCTCAGGTATATGGTTGTCAGCACATTCCTTTGGTTCTAATTGTATTCTTCTGCCAGTGCACAACACAGTTGCTGCATCACGAGTGTGTATGGGCCTGCGGTGGGTGTGTAGGTGTACGTAGGCACAGACAGTGCCGACTAACTCTAATCCGCTCCCCCCACACACAGAAACACACACCTGTAAATTATTCAAAGCACCAGATGGGGATAGAGAGCACCCAACAGTCAGCGGGACAAAGAATTCCAAGGTCACAAAGTCCAAATGTCGTCTCGTTTTTTTTTATCCAGTAAAATCAATCAACCTAATGTTTTATTATCTGAGAAAAGCAGATCACTGGATTCCACCAACCGTTGTGTGAGTGCATCCATGTGTTCAGCAGTGGCCTTTCGCTTCTCTTCCCCTGCCAGTGTGAGCTGGCTCCAGACGCTGCCACCGCAAAGGTCAGCGTGTGTGTTGATGTGTATGTATGTAAAGTGACAACAGTGATCTGCATAATGGGTTTTGTTGTTCCCAAAGCAGATGAAGACTGAGATTAGGCTTAAAGGGGGCGGTGCATTTATTAGGCTTTCATTTCTGTGAGAACCATAATCCCAAGAGAAGTAAAAGCTTTATTAGCTCATGAATTTTTGCAGCCTGCCAGACTGTCCATGTGACATTATTTTCACTGGGACCTCATAGTGGTGCATTAAAGCAATACTGAACTGAATGTCCTCTGACACGTCCCTTTGTCAACTGCAGTAAAGCATTACAGCAACAGTGGCACCATCTGTACCGTGTTAATGAAACCTCCAGTTTGGCTTTATAGAAATGGAGATGTGTGTGTTTCTGCTAGTTTTAACACCCGTTTAATTTTAGTCAATTTTTTTGAGAATGTGCTCTCCGATAAATTATATTTTGGTTTTCATTATCACATCCCTGTGTGTAAAAATGTGATATTTGTAATGGTTTTGATGTGCATTGGTGATTTTAATGCTGTGCCAAGCAAAGTGTGGCTGTGCCACTGTCTAGCTCAGCACCCTCTGCCAACTTGACACATTTTGTTGAAATGTTTCATGTCATGAAAGTAAATAGCAAGCCAGGAAGCAAAAGCACATAGAGGAAGAAAGGATACTAGAAAGTATCAGGATTTCACAAAGTTTACAACCGACAGTAGATGTTGTAAGAAGTTTGCAATAAAGCTCTCTCCTGGGAGCACGTTTGTAATCAAGTGGAGTGGAGATAAATGATCTGTGAATGTTTGTTTCACCAGCACCTAATCTAAAGCACACTCAATGAGAATGGGCTGACAAAAATCGAACTCATCAATAGTGGACAAAATGATGCATAGAAGCAGCATGCGGATAAAGAAACTAAATGACATACAGCCTGTTAAGAAGGCGTAACAGTTCTATGTAGCCTAACTAAGACCGTCAGCCTGAAAGGATGTAGCATTTTCAATGACAAGATTTTAGACCAAAAGCAGTTTTCTTCACTTCACTTCTCTTCTCTTATGGAGGTAAAGTCAATACTTAAAACTTGTGAAAATGTCTTGATTGATTGAACTTAACATAAATTGTTCTACTATTAAGACAATATGCAGCATTGGAATGAAAAGCAAAACATGTAAAGGCTGAGTTTCATCTTATAGTTTGTTTAATGCCTGGAACACCTCAACTTTTGACCTAAAGGAGCAGCAGCTTTACTCTGACCTCACCCAGCATCTGAATTCCTTTCCCTATCACTCTGGCAAGTCAATTTCATTTGTAAAGCATGAAGGTAGATTCAATGTGCTGTACAGGAAGCTTAGCCCAGCAACACAACAGTGTGGCTCATGTATCGTTGGCTACTTCCTCTTAATGCGGCGCTCTGCAATTTTATTCCCACCTCAATTACTTACTCTGACGTCATCACGGTCCTGCACTACGTTGCCTTTAATCTCATACACTGAAGAACATCCAGAGGAAAATCTCCATGGTGACTGGACAACCAAAAGGTGCCAGGACAAATTAATAAAATGTATAACTGCACAGACAACAAGATAAAACAAACAAATAGACAAAGGTGGTCAACATTTCAATTGTGCCAAGCAGTGGGAGCCATATAAAACTTGACTTGTCGGAAAGTTGTATATACATTTTAATTTCCAGTAAGAAGTACTTCACATCTGTCCCCTCCATATTCTTCATCTGCATTTATTATTAAGTTCTTGAGGTGTCCTCTGATCCAGCCACTCCACTTAATTGTTCCTTGCACTTCAAACTTCATAGAGAAGCAATGTAACCACTTGTACTCTCCGTTTGAAATGAGAACATCCAGTGGATGAATTACACCTGCTGGGTCCAGAGTCAGACCCTGCAGCACGACAATTAAACTGAAGTGCAACAGTTTTTTCCCCACTTTCAGCAGTGGTGCTCAGTGTCAAGTGTCTGTGCAGTTTGTATGAGCTGAGAATAAGAGTGTACTACATGCAGGTATGGTTATTTTTACCTCAAGCTGTTCCTGAACAATGTCTTAGAAATATTATATATTCTTTTATGTGGTGACATGGCTTTCATTCATCCTGGTGAAGTGAGAACTGTAGAAAATTCTAAATTCTTTTAAACTACACCTCAGAGTTGATCCGCTGGACAACGTGACAGCTCCCCTAAAGTGAAGCCAAATCAACACCACCTGTTGGCTGGCTGCAGTACATGTTATACACCCTGCCTCCTCCATGTTTCTCAAAGATGGTTTCTGTGGTAGTGTTTGGATCCTGTATGTTTTTCTTTGTTTCTGGATAATGAGAGGAAGAAGAGATGTGTCATCCATCATCTCTGAAGCTCGTGACTTTGTACACCACATTGCTGACAATTGATTGGCTAATTGGAAAAACCTGTGAATATGCTGTTGTGCAGAGGTTCTTAAAGTGCTCGGTGCACAAATTACACAAAAGCTTAGTTTTAGAGTCATGTTATGGTTTTGTGTGTATAGGTTTGTGTATATGTGACAGAAAGTGAAGATAATCAGTGTCTGGTGAAAGAGATGTGTAATTGTAGGAATGTCATTAAGAGGGGGAGCATTTCTGCTGAATTTTGTCTCAGTCTACAGTCATTCAAGTTTAACAGGCTCCTTTATTCCCATGATGATGCTCTTCTGAATCATACACGCAGCTAGCTGCTCTATGCTGGGAGGCAGATTACTTCACCCTCTCAAAGATAGCTGGCATTATTTTGAAATTTTCCCCATCATGGTCGTTGTTGAGCTGGGTTTTGATGGTCGTTGTTTGTTTGTTAGTAGGATTACACAAAAAGCACTGAACAGATTTCCACGATGCTGTGGAAGGATAAAACGTGGACCAAGAAACACCCCAGTACATTTTGGCAAGGACCCAGACTAAGGGATGTATCCAGGGATTTTACATGATCACTTTTTTAACATTGTGAGATGGCTTTTTGACATTTTCATCAATTTCTATGCAGGGAATAATGCAAAAAGAACCAGGTACATTTAGGGGACTGATGGCTATGTGTGTGGAATCTGTTCTGGGTTGATATATATTGAATATAAAGGGGACTGTTTGGAAGAATAACACGACCCACTTGTAAGTGTCCCTGATTAACAAAAGCACGAAATAACCCGACCGTTCCACTGTTATTTCTAATATGAGAAAATCAACAAATCTAAAAAACCTGAACATGTTGCATTAGTATCTATAATAGTATAGGAATAGACACAGAAATGCTCAGATCAAATAGGTAGTGTTTTGTAAAAGGTGTAGGCACAGTAAGCTGTGGCTTCAGCCTACACCTTTTCACTTTCTGCTGAGATGCACTGTTCTCTAGTGTTTTATTGTGTTTTTCTATCCTCTTATGCCTTGATTGTGTAATTATTTATAAATGCACCAAATATTTTGTACGCCAGTGATGATTTATGGACAAGTTCTAATTTCTGAGCATCTGCGTGTTGGTACCAAAGCACATGGTTCTCTTACTAAACTATGTAATTAGATATTTTTAATCCTTTTTTTGTTTAAAAGGGAGAGCAAACCTGACTGGTTAAATTATGTCCAGATATGCATTTGTGAGGAAACAGTGACTAAATTTCAAAATATGTACATGCAAGTTATTCAAATTTTTACTGAAAACCAGATATTTTTGAAGTTTTTGTACAAGTCAACCTTGAGTCTTCTTTTGTTTGATTTACTTAATTATTACCTGCACCGAAAAGCTGATGTTTTTGTCTCAGTTTATTTGTTTGTCTGTTATTTAGCAGGATTACACAATGACTACTGGATTGACTACCACGAAACATGGTGGAAGGCTGTGGTATGGGTCAATAAAGAACCCATGAAACTTTGGTGTGTGTCCGGATAGGGGGGGGCAGATCCTCCTTTAACATTGTGTTTTTCAACCTTTTCATTGATTTATCAAAAAACAATTCATAGATCTTGATTGAAAAAACAAAAACAGGCGTGTTGAGGGGACTGGTGTCTATGAGTGTTTGCAATTTGGAGCCAAATAAGAATCTTTAAATGTGGTTTCATAAGGGGGCTGTTGGGCCTTAATGGCAGAGGTATGTGTTGTCTGAGCTCTAGTCGTTGATGTATTTGGTGCACAGGGGAAATCTTCCATTAGACAATAGATGTATTCATACAAACAAGTGCACAGTGTCACATATACACCAAGATATGTGTTACTGTCACCTTTGAAAGGGCAGGGGGTGTTGATGTGCTAATGATTGTGGGTTGCTATGAGGACTTGAGGGGTTTGTGTTACATTATCATGAGACTCTCAGCATCTCTGGAGACTCAGTGTCACAGTCACAGTGTTTCTGCAGCCATAATGTGATAAAGGGATATTAAGAACTCAATACACACTGTAAGTGCCAGTGTTTGGTAAAGATTGTTAAACCTGGCTCATTGAGTACTTTGTCTTCCTCCGAAGTTATATACTGTGTGTCTTACCTGCAGCGATCCCCCCTCTCATTTTGTCCCTCTCCTCTCCAGGGAGCAGCCAATCTTCACCACTAGGGCCCACGTCTTCCAAATCGACCCGACCACCAAGAAGAACTGGGTTCCTGCCAGCAAGCAGGCTGTCACTGTCTCCTATTTTTACGACAGCACACGCAACAGCTACCGCATCATCAGTGTGGATGGATCCAAGGTATGTGCTTGTGTCCTTAAGCTGCGTCTGTGAATGTAGCACGATCTTAGAGAGATGATTGGAAACATTTATCTGCTCTCAGGAGAAAAAGCTGACGTTGACGAAGAAAACCCAGTTGGATTTGAACAAAAGGAATTTAAAATAAATTAATTTTATATTTACTGCTTCTGTGACAGCAGCAGCCCAAAGCAATTTAATATTTCCTGTTTATGAAATAAGGTCATCAACAATGTATTGGGTTTTTAATTATTAATTTCCATAAAACTTTTTTTTAGTTTTATAACAACTTGTTCTGGATCATTACTTTGGATGGGATGTCTATAAAATGGGTCTGTTGGCCCCTATCAAGACATGCATTGGTTTTTTGCAAGGTGTATAAATATGTTAATAGTTCAGCACACAACTGGAACAGTTCTCCTGTTGGTTGAAATCAGAGTCTGAACATCAGCAACGTCCTTCACAGAGCAGGCAAAAGCTTCATGTCTGTTGAGTTGCAGTTAAACTCAATTATGTGTAATTTACTGTCATTAACAGCCCACAATTATCACAATTGAAGGTCTAGATTTATTTTCTCCCATGTGTGCATAGGAATAAGGAATAGCTGGGTTGCAGAACAGGCAGTACATTTGAAAAACGTTCAATTTAAAAAAAGAATAGATTTTCTAACCTGTTTGTCATCTCGAGAGCACGATGTTCAGATTAAATCATGCCTGTGATAACGGACACCATAGGAGTATGCTGATGTCCCATATTCACACTTTCGTCCTCCGCTAACTGAAAGAGTAGATTGTGTTTCCATGGCGATCAGGCTTTTCTCTGTGTGAGAAGTGTATGTTATGACAGCAGCATCTCTCTGCTGACAGGCAATCACCTTTCACATGGTCTTAAATCGCTCAGATTACCTGCAGAGCCACTTCAGACACTGAGCAGGTTGCCAGTGGTTTATATCTGTGGATGTCCACAGATTTGGCGAAGCCGTCTGTATTTCTGTTTGGGTAAAGGACCCGTGGAGTTCAGTTTAGGATTACCAAGCCATCAGAATGGTGGGTCTCACAGGAACCCAACATGGATATCTGTGTGTGAAGTATTTGGTGTGTGTTTGTCTGTCTGTGGTTATGGACAAATTTTGGTTCAAGACTGTTTTTATGAGGACATATTGAAGTGCATTTAAACGTCCTCACAGTGACGGAGGTCTGTTTGATTATGATGATGTAGTTTTAGGTTTAGGTTACAGGGTAAAGCTTGAATTCCAGAATTTTTGACTGGGGCCCTATGTTTGTAAATGGGTTGAAAAATACAAGACTTACACTTTAAGGTTAGGTACCTATTTATGATAGTTGAGGTTATGGAAAGTGTGGAAAGACAAGCATGTGTATTTAAAATCTGGAAGCTCTGATTAACCTTGTTCCTTTGTGCGTCTGGCTCAAATATGAAGTGAAATCCATCTTTTAAGACAATTAAAACCCATTGGTCCAGTGTTCCAGCAGAGCATTGTTGAGTCACGCTCTGTTGGTCTTAAAACCACACTCTTCCCACTGCAAACCAGAGAGGCAAGAGTCTAATCTGTTATGTCATCAAGCAGCACTTCATAGAGCTACAACACTGACAATGACTGACAATAGATCGCTGAAGATGAAACTTGCATGTTTTTATCCTTTAGAAGATTGGTAATCTGCTTTATTTCAAATCTGTATTTAAAGTGCTCCTCATCCTCGAGGCCAGGATTCCTCTCTCTGCTCTCCCACTCTCTGTCACCCTCCCTGTCCTCCTGTTTCACCACTCTCCTGTAACCTTGAGTAACAAAGCAGCATGTGTCATAAAATGTCTGCAGGCAACAGCTATATGTGAGGTATGAGGATAAAACATCTGACATTTTATTAGTTTAAAAAGGGATGACCCCTGCTCATTTAAATCTCATCCCTGTTGTCGATATGAGCAAAGGGAGGAAATGTTGAGTCATGACAAATAAATGTTAAATATAGTATTCTGCTTTGTACGCTAGCTCTGAGGGAGACAGGTCTGTCGAGAAGAATGTTCTGTGCTGCTGTGCACACTAACTGTGGCAGACTGTCAGCTTATATTCGTCCACGCGTGATGGCCGGGCGACTTGCTGATGGTGATACAGCGAGTAGAGGAGCAGATCAGCACTTGTGACTCTCACTCGTCCTGAATCGTGCTTCTCCTACAGCAGCGTATCAAACACCATGACAGCACAGTGAAGGGATATTTCGCTGCACTTTATGAATTATTCCAAATGTGATAACTTTTCCAGCTCACATGCAAAAAACATTTTATCTCTTCCCGTTTTTAGTATTTACTCAAATTCGTGGTGTGGTGAGCTAAAAGACGTTTGTGCTCTTTTCTCGTTTCAAGTAAAATAAGGT